CCCAAGATAGGTTTTCTTAGTAAAATAAAAAGTTATAAGTGTTTTTTGACGGACGAATTTTTTAGTTAATTTTTGTGTAATGGATTTGCAGAAAGAGTTTTATTCCAAGCAATTTTTCTATTCATATTGACTTATTACTTAACTTAATCCAATTATACTAGTACATAGTTACTCTTTATAAAATGCTTGCATATACTAACAATATATTTAACAATAAAGCTGATAAGCTAGCAACAAATTACAACTTTATAGCATATCTTAATCTAATATACAACAACCTATATAACATCTTATATACCTTAAAATATAACAAATACACAATTGAATAATCTACTAAACAAGTGATTAAAAATATTAATAATATATATATAATTGTTATATAGTCATTACAACATCATATAAGTAATATTATTTCACTATTATTCTAAATTAATTGAAATGCAACCTGGCTATATTTTAATAACAACATTAAAAGAACAAATAATTTTACTAACTTCTTACTTAACCAAAGTAAATTTTTTAAAATTAAAATACTATTTAACATTTTATCAATATTATATTATCTTTATGAACTATATTTAGATAGTTTTTAATACAACAACTGCATTACTTGTTAAATATTAGAACATTTATTATACTGGTTACTTTACTTTAATTCAACAAATCTTATTAGTATTATTACAAAAACAATATCTGAAATTATTAATAATTCATTATTAAATATCATATAACTATAATTATAATAATTATATTGTTTATTAACTAAACATAACAGCTTATTACTTAACAATGTTTGATAAGAACAAACTAATATATATATAATACTACAAAGATATGTACCAATAAATCTAATTATAACAATTAGACTATACATAACATCTTATTAAACTGCAACTCTAATAACTATCAAACTACTTACAAAAATATTATAAAAAAATATATAATTACATCTAGAAACTATATACTACTAAACTAATATAATAAAAAAAAATATTATTATACCAAATAATAAATCTACAAATTATTAAAGATTTTATAATGGGGGTGTGATGACCTAGTGAAGTAGTCAGGTTGTCAACCTCCAAAATGGTAAATTGGATGTTCAAATCCTATCAACAGCAAAAATTTGGATAATCACCTATGTAATATTTGTATTACAGCAACTGTTATTAACGATTAGGTTAGAATACCTGTAATAGCGGTCACACCAGTATGACTGGCAGGTCATGGGGCATCTGTGTAAGTATAGCATTACACAGAGAAATGCAAACTGAAAATCAGGTGATGCAAACACTAGATAAGTCTTTGTAACTATATAAATCTGTTGAAATTAGGTAACAAGAAGTCCATTTGAGAAAACCCAAGTAAAGAGGTAGCTGGATCTTTGATGGCCCTACTGTAAAGGCTAGCTCAGGGAAATGGATACCAAGGTCATAGTACCTGGTCATAGTAGCCGGATGGGCAAGAACCTCTAGGTTAAGGTCTCAGGGGTATCACCAATCAGGTCACTGGAACGAACTAAAGAAAAAGGATATCGGGCTAACTTGATATACCAATAGACTGATCATAGTCCTATATGGGCTATCTGGATTGGAAGTTTGGTAAAAAGGCTAGACAAAAGGCAGGTATATACTAAAGTACTAGGTTTATGCTATGAAGTAAATGCTGGAGTCTAAGTAAACTCTATAAGGGTATAGCAGTTTAATGGTTAGCCCTAATCGCAAGTGTTGGTTCTGCCATAGCAATATTTAGGTCAGCTGTAAAAATAGGTACAGAAGGCTCTGAAGGGTTTACCTTAAAGATAAATTAGTCCTAAGGTTAAGGATGATGATCTGGTACATCAAAGATGACTAGTGATATTAACACAGGTTACAGGTTTAGAGGATTTAAAGTGGAACATCCAAGCAAGTGTGTTAGGTATAGCAATTGGTAGAGAACCTTTGGGCAGACTCCTTAAATAGGTAATATAGAAAAGTTACATGTGTAACCAATTGTATGCTCTCCTGTAATGGTTTATTGAATCACAATACCGATAAGTAATTAATAAAAGTCAAAAGACCAAAGAGGTTACTTTAATACCAAAAAAAAAAAAAAAAAAGATTTTATAATCACTATAATTAACATTACAACTTACACTATATAATTTGTCAACTGTATGATTTATCTAATCAACTTTATACAGAAGATAATAACTGCTTACCACTAGGATATGCATTTCACAAAATTGATCTTTGGTTTACATACTGGATACTATATAGTTACTTTACAAACAATATCTTATATTATCAAATCTAAGTAAGTTTTAACTACTCTAGTAAGTTTAAGTTGCAGATAAATTAGATAATAATCTGTCTATAGTTTGAGCTCTATTTTATAATATATTTGTAATTGGAATAAGTTTGTAATTTATATTCAGAAAAACCCATGAAGACCTCTTTAACAAATTAATAAAGATATGAACAAAAATTTATTTTAATTTCAAAAAAAAAAATAAATATTATAAAATTTTTTTATTAATTAATTAAAAAATAAATATTATAAAATATTTTTATTAATTAAAAAATAAAAAAGTTTTATTAGTAGCATATATCAAATTTAAATGAAAATTTTAATATAACAATATAAAAATGATCTACATGACCCTACCCTTAAATAAATACAAAATCTGATATCAAAAACACTTAGGACCTAGCCCCGGAGCATCGCCCGGGCCTGAGAGCTAGTGATTTCTATGATCGGTTTCCATGTTTTTTCGTGTAACATATGATTTATCGAGCTACATCAAAAGAAGCCGGAAATGATCGCTGATCGACATTTTTTTTGTCATGACTAACCCACTTGGAAAAGACCAACAGGAAATTGATACGTAACCATCAAATGTAACGTACCTTTAAAAAGTTTAAACACAAATTACTAATAAAGATAAGAAAATTATCTCATCTTAAAAGTTTGTATTACAAAAATTATCCACTAATCGGTCCAGATGACTTTTGTGATGATATTTAAATATCACTGCAGGAAATTATCATTTTCTTGACTAATCTTGTCCTAAATTTGACCTAATCCAAATTTATACGTAACCTAAGCTTTCACTCTTGATTGGCAGTGAAAAACAATTGGAAGATGTTAACCCTAACTCTATTTTTAGCCAAAATACCATTCTTATCTACCCGTGTAAACAGTCTAGTCGCACCAAATATTTTATACGTGCAATTCAGAGGGCTTTCCAAAATTTAATTGCTAGTCAAGTAGCCTAAACATGTTAAATTTATCAGAAAAATTGGGATTTTAAAAAGCAACTTTAAAAGTTTTAGCTCTAATCCAAATATGCGATTAGATCATCCGTTAATTCTTATCATTAATATACCGATACTAAATTGGTATTAAAAAAAAAAAAAAATTATGTACATGACAATGATAACGATGATCGATAATCTTCAATTAACGTTAATAATCTTTGACGGTTAATTTTAATTTGAAAGGTTAAATATATATATTTAAGAAAAGAATAATGATAAATGTATCACTATTAAGACTAACTATTCAATAAGTTAAAGCAGCCCGATGTAAAGTAGACGTATTTTTCAATAAATCATATTGGAGATGTCTCCAAGCTAGTTTCTTCAACGGAAAAAAAATTCTGCATCACATATTTCGTACATACACAGATAATCGTCAGTTTCATCATCACTGATGCATTTGATCCTTTTTCGGAATTTTGCTGAGTCAAGAAAATCATTATTTTACTCATTGCATCACAAGAACATCACATGGTTTTAAATATAAATTTTCTTTTTTTTTTTCACTTGAAGACTTGACCGTTTAAAAATTTTAATTTTATTTATTATACTGCCACCATGACTAGATCTATTACAGTCGATGAGGTTGCTCAACATAATACTGGAAATTCTATCTGGATCATTGTTCATGATAAAGTTTATGATGTAACGAACTTTTTGAACGAACATCCTGGTGGAAAAAAGGTCTTACTCAAGGTTGCTGGTTCGGACGCAACAAAACAGTTTGATAACTTTCACTCATTAGACGTGCTAAAAAAATATTCGTCTCAATTACTTATTGGTGAAATTGGCTCTGCTCAAAGTGAAGAAAATGAAGAGGTAGCTGGAGGTGAAGGTCCATACGGAGATCTTGTACCACAAGGTGATCCATACTGGTATCAAGGCTTCCACAGCCCATATTATAATGATTCGCACTATCGTTGCCGTGCTGCTGTGCGTAAATTTGTGGAAACAGAGATCATGCCTTATACTTTTGAATGGGACGAAGCCAAGAAAATTCCAAAGGAACTCTTTATAAAAGCTGGTAAAGCTGGCATCTTACCTGGAGTCTGTGGTTCACCTTGGCAAACAAAGTAAGGAAATAATTTTTGCACGTTCTCTAAAACCTAATATATTATCAATCGTCAAATTTATAATTTTACGCAAAAATTTAGGTATTGTAAATATCCACCTGTTGGTGGTGTTAAACCAGAAGAATTTGATTATTTCCACGAATTTATCATTACAGATGAATTGGCTCGTTGTGGATCAGGAGGTATTCTATGGGGTTTAACTGGCGGTAAGTTAAAAATGTGAAAAAAGTTTTATATAGGCTCAGAATTGCTTATTAATGGTTTTTTTTTTTTTTTTTTAATATTAATATAGGTTTGGGTATCGGCCTTCCACCTATCATCAAATTCGCGTCTGATGAACTCAAACAAAGGGTTGCTCCAGAATGTTATGAAGGAACAAAGAATATTTGTCTTGCTATTACAGAGCCTTATGCTGGTTCCGACGTTGCCAGTATTAGAACTGAAGCCAAACTTACGGACGATGGCAATTACTATATAGTTAACGGTGAGAAGAAATGGATCACAAATGGTGTATTTGCTGACTATTTCACCACTGCAGTTCGCACGGGTGGTCCAGGAATGGGTGGAATCTCACTTCTTTTGATTGAGAGATCGATGCCAGGCGTTAAGACCCGTCAAATGCAATGTTCTGGTGTATGGGCTTCAGGTACTGCTTATATTACATTTGAGGATGTAAAGGTTCCAAAAAGCAATCTTATTGGAAAGGAAAATGGCGGATTTAAGGTAATTATATATTTTATAATAACTTATCGATTTATTTTACAAATCTAAGGTAATAATGTTAATGTCGCTTTATTATTATCATTAATTTCATAAAATTAGTGCATCATGCATAACTTCAATCATGAACGAATGGGAATCGCAATTCAAGCTAACCGATTTGCTCGTGTATGCTATGAGGAATCTATGAAATATGCTCATAAACGAAAGACTTTCAATAAAAGACTTATTGATCATCCGGTTATTCGTAATAAACTCGCTCATATGGCTCGACAAATCGAAGCTACTCACGCCTGGATGGAATCTCTACTTTACCAAACAAGATTTATGGATGGAGAAGATGCAATGTTAAGACTCGGTGGTCCAATTGCGTTATTGAAAGCACAAACGACACAAACATTTGAATATTGTGCTCGAGAAGCTGCTCAAATTTTTGGTGGTTTATCTTATAGTCGTGGCGGGTGTGTATATAAAATTTACATTACACTTGATTTTTTAATTGAAATCGTTTATTAATATATTTATTTTTAATGATCACTAGTCAAGGTGAAAAAGTCGAACGTTTATATCGTGAAGTACGTGCTTACGCAATTCCTGGTGGATCCGAAGAAATTATGCTCGATTTGGGTGTCAGGCAATCTCTGAAAGTCGCACAGTTCGCTGGAGCCAAACTTTAATATTAATTTTTTTTAGTTTAGAATAATAATTTTTAGAAATATCTATTGTTTGTTCCAAAATATTATGAAATTAAGAATTATTCGTGTTATACGCAATTTTCAACAACTTTTAATTATTTTAAGATTATTGTAGTATACGAGATGTTTTAGTGGGAGTTATTTTTTTATCAAACTTTATTTAAACCTCTACCACACAACATCCCTTTAAATATGACACTTGGTCAAACAAAATTTGAATGATAAATCCTAATGCAGTATTATTTGAGTATTGTCAGAAATTGTCATGAATAAAGTCTAGTAACGTTTGACAAATCAAAATTTGTTAGGGAGGCTGAAATTATGTTATTATTTATCGTTATAGGAATTTTAATTTATATCGTCAATTAAGATGACTGCCATATGATAAATATAGTCAGACCTTTCTAAATGCATTGTGATGGGACCATATATATATATATTTGACATTACATGTTATCGACAATCATTTCCTCATAAAATTGCCTGATTTAGCTTTAGGGGTAGTGATGAGAGTTAATTTTAATTAGAATTATATGTTGGAGAATAATTTTCGGGAAATGTTTTATCTAAAAAAAAAAGATAGTCGAAAACTTGTACTGTCAAATATTGTACATAGAAATGTGTTGGCAGACCATTAAAGATCGTCGTATATGCACCAATCGGATTTTTTTGAATGATCGTCGCCAATAAGATCACTAGATCAGGTGTAACGTGAAAATCACGCTTTTTAAAGTGTAATAACGATAAGTATTAAATATCATGATTTACGAGTCGTGGTTGGCTAAGTTTTGATTTGGGATTGGTGGTGTTTACGTAATGACGTACAAAAAATAACAAAAAAAAAAATCTATACGTAATCATAAGAGTTTGCACGATAATATTTATTGTTATTTAGAGAATTATTAATCAAATAACACGATTTTAAATCATCAGCAAGTGAGTATATATTCCGTTTTAAAAATTTCCATATAATAAAAAAAATCTAAAATATTGTTCTTGTGAAAATTTCTAGAATGTAATTTTTATTTTTTTTAAATTAATATATTAAGCATTATCGTTATAATTAAGAATGTATCTCTATATAGCTTAAATATAACCATGAACTGTCTAAAAATAATTTATTTGAAATTTACAGATCATTTAATTATCTAATATTACTTTGAATTATTTATCTTTAAAATCAATGAGACTGTTTTTATTTATTAAAGTATATTATATACTTATTTACAAGATTGGATTGAGTCCAATCTCGAGCCAGCTAATACAAAAATGATAGACGTATTTGACGGGGAAAACTCATTCTTACCTGTGGGGAATGCAGCTCTATCATATACTTTTTAAATAACAGTATCGGCATTTGTTTCTTATAAATGCTTTAATATTTATATAATTTTACATTTTTAAAAATTAAATACAAATAATCTTCTAAAAATGGTTAATTGGTTGTAGGGAGTTGAGCTAAGTACAAACTGGAACAAATCTCTTGTAAATCGTGAACATCCCAAACCTATTTTTATGAATAGAGTTGGCACGGATTCTAAAAAGCAAATGATACAATATAATCTATTCTAAGGAGATGGAAAAGTTGGGTATTCTAAATTAGACATCAGTACAAGAAAATTTTCAAAGGTCCTTGGCATTTGGCTTGAATTTATTTTCAAATTTCATTTATCTCTTTTACTGATTCTTCTAGCCCCAGTCTCGTCATCCGTAAGATGCAAATGAATTGAAGTACAGATTCCTCTTCCATATCACTATGAAACTTATCAGTATCGTTTACAAAAGGACCACCAGAAGTTTCTTCAAATAAAATTCCCTGGATAGTTCCGGCCCAGCAGTTTCCACAAGAAGCCAAAAGTCTGATTTTCTTGCATAACAGATATAAGCTAAATAATATTTATCATTTATGAAAACTGTTTTTACTCAATTTATATACAATATATTTAGTATGGAATCTAAAACCAATCGATTCCACGTGCCTTTTAAACAACATGATTTCTTAATATCTTCGTCCCACAAAGAGAATCTATAAAAGTTTATTTAAATTAGAAGGGATTTGAATTCAATTATTGAAATATAATAAAGTACATATATATGCCTGCAAATATCTCGCATGAAAATATAAAAAATTAATTTTCTATCATTATTTATCTTCCCAAAATCATCATATCGCCATCTCTTTTGATCACAATAAAATTTTTCAAATAAATCTCTAAAATTTACAGGAAGTTCTAATGTATACAGTATCTATTAGGAATGCATGCTATTTTTTCATAAATTTTAAGTCCGATATGTTCAAGAAGCTCTTCTTGGAGTTCAGTTAAATCGACTATATATTTAATGTTTTAATTTTATTCCATGTTATGGTCTTAGCAAATGAATTGCCAATGTCCATATCAATCCTTTCGTCATTAGTTATAATCCATTCAAAAGATTTATAATTAAAAATTTTATTAGAAAAATTGGACTTAAAAATTTATAATCGTTTCATATATTAAAAAATATGCTTGTAAAAAAACATATTTTTTAAATACTTCTCTATAATGAATATCTCCAACAAATTCGTTGTTTATATTTGGATGAAACTTTTTTTTTTTCTAATGTTGTTGCAAGTTCTTGTTCACACCATTTAACAAATCTCGCGTGGATTCTTTTGTAGCAAATTAAAAAAGGGTTCAACGTCACATCTGCGAATTGCCTTAAATAAGTAAAAATAGTATAAAATCTTTATTAGTACGTACTTTTCAGACAAGATAATTTAGGTAATATTCTAGCATAATAACTCATAACACCTTAGCAAAGGTCATGAGCGACCACAAGCATGCCTTAGCTATACTATAATAAAATATCTAATATAGCCAGATATCAGAGGCGCACGTGTCCGTTATGATAATATGTGAACTAATCTTCCGTCAGAAAAATCATGACCAAAAATAATATATAATATGCTTATACAAAAGCGATAGATATAATTCGTGTTGCAATTTCGCAAAAAATAATGTATCCGTCATGGTAACAAACGAATTGATCTTCCGTCAAGTATCCACATTTTTAATATATATTATATCTGTGCAATGATTTGCAACCGAGCGATAGAATTATTTCATGTTGCAATAAGGTTTATCTAAAGACCTTAGATATAAATCATAATCAAAATTCACGTATATAATTATTAAATAATTACTTTTTTACTAGCTCTTATATCCTCATTTGTCCAATTTTCTTGTTAACGTACTTTATTTAGGCCATTGGCAAATAAAGTGTAATCCTCGCCAAAAGATTCGACCTCCGAGTCATTACATACACGCCAAATATAAAAGTCGAGTTGAGTTACTAGGCGAGGGTTATATGTTTGAAAAAATTTTCTAATGATTCAACAACTGTTAATCATTCCTATCATTGGAGGCATTGGTTGAAATTTCTGAAAGTACAATACGACTTCTTAAATTATGTTTCTTTGATTTAATGTTAGCGTGAGACCTACACGTGGTTATACCAGGAACGGAGTGATGAAATCACGAAGTGTATAACTCAACTCATACAGGGGGATCCCCAAAATTCCGGGTCGGAATACTTCGGAATCATGATCGGCAGGGCCGGAATTAACTAATTTTGCCCAAGATCACTAAAAGTTTTACTAATGAAACCATAGCTCACTCATTAAGTAAAGCTGCCCAGCTGGTAATTTTGGCCCAAAATGGTTAACTTGTATTACTAAATGCTAACTAAATGCCAGGCTAAATCCAAGGTATCCCGACTCGGAATTTTGGAGATCCCCCTGTATGAGTTCTCTGTATGAGTTCGAAGTGTATGGCTTACCAGAGAAAGAAAAGATATATGGACCCAAAATCTAATTTCCAATTGGTCAGCATGATCATAATTGTCGTGTCTTGTATATTCTTCACCCATTATTAACCCTTGCCATATAGCCGTAATGCCTTATTGCTGTAATACCATATTGTCATAATGCCATAGTATCGAAGCAATTCTTGAATGTGCGTCAGGTTTGCAGCGCAGCAAAAATTCTTTAATTAATCATAGCTGTCAAACAAAATTGCCTTGTTCGCAGTTGCTTTTACTTTTATAGCAACAAAATTCTTAACATGCAAAACAACTCACATAACAGATTGTCCTATTTGTAATTAAATTCAAATTTAAAAATACTAATTATATATTTTTTACTACTTTTATAAAAGCAAAATACTTTATGTTCTAATACCAAATAGAATATAACAATTTATTTATAAATGCAATATAAAAATACAAAAAAGATAACAAAATAATCATTATTAATAGACAAATAAGACAAAATATATTTTAAACTCAGATAGAAATTATATATAGATTATATAGATTATATCACTAATACAAACTTTAATCCATGTCAATAATGATATATCTTTTTACTAATATATTACAAAGAATTCATAATATATAAAAAACAATAAGGGGTGTGGCGACCTAGTGAAGTGGTCAGGTTGTCAACCCCCCAAGTGGTAGGTTGGGTGTTCAAATCCCATTGAT